TCACAACTCAAAACAAAGGGAAATGAAAAAAAAAATAGAAAACAGGCAAAAGATGGACACAATTTTATAAAATTTTCTTTTAGGCTTTGTTTACTTGAATGGATTTTGAGAGAGTGATTGAATGAATTTGAGAGAATTTGAAAGTAAATTTTGTTGTTTATTTGAGTGGATTTGGAAGTAAAGTTTATGAGAATTAGTGTAGGATTTGATTGATACGACAGATTAAAAAAATTTACTTCCAAATCCACCTTCACTTCCAAATCCACTCAAATAAACAACAAAAAAATTATCTCCAAATTCTCTCAAATCCATTCAATCACTCTCTCCCAAATCCATTCAAGTGAACAAAGTATTAGTATTGCCTTCAATCAAAGCTAAAATTTTAGATCATTCATCCATAGGTTTAAAACATTCTCTATTATGATAGAACACCTCATTTCCTTCATTCTAGGGTTGGAACACTCTTTACGAAGTTATAAAACACCTCGCATCCCTCATCCATGGGGTTAGAACACCCTCTACTAGGTTAAAACACCTAAAAAACATATTTTAAATATAATTTAATTCTATAAAATCAGTTTATAAATAAAAATTTACATCTATGTAATGTAAATTGATTTTATCTTTTATATATATATATATATATAAAAGACTTTTAACATAACTTTTCATATGGAGATATATACGTCTCAAAGAGACTGATATTAAGATGTAAATTTTTATTACATAAGATAAAACTCTTACTACTTATATTCAAAGAAAATATGTGTGCATGTGTAATGACCAAGTTAATTACTTACTGCACTCTTTAGGGTGACATAAACAATTCAAACCAGCACCACAGCTTCCATTAGGCTTTTCACACCCTTGACAAATTTCTGGTACACGAGGAATGTCAACAGATATCCTTGTTCCAACCTTAAATCCCTGATCATGTCCACCGTCTGATGTTCTTCTATGCACCCAGCTGAAATGAGAGCAGTTCAGACGCTGAGGGTGAAAATCCTTGTCAAATTTTCTCAGATCTTCAACAACTAAACATGGATGAAGGTAGTTCTTGTTCTCTTCAGCACCTCCACAAGTGTACAAGTTTCTACAATTTTGCATGGTTGGTAAAATGGGGTGTCTTCTGCTTGAGCAATTGAAGAGAACAAGCGAGTTAGGCTCAGGAGGAGAAGGGAAACCAGCAGTGACAGCCGTAGGAGAAACATATTGCAGAGAAGAACAAGAAGAGTGAGTGATGGTTAGAAATCTACCATTGTTGTCTAGTGAAGAGACATGAAAAAGGCCAAGGGATGTTCTGAAATAGAGATTCTGAGATATGCACAAAACGATGTTGTCTAATATAGAAGAATTTGGATTCAAGAAAAAAGGTGTTTGTTTTCTGATATTTTGACAGTAGTTTGCATCGTTTTCTATAGAAGAACCTAATAACATGATATTGAATAAGAGTAAAGAATGAAGAATTTGTGGTTTCTTGAATGGCTTCATGTTCATCCCTTTTGTGAATGGATGCAAAGAATGTTCACTAAGTTATTTTAATATTTGTATAGGTTTGTTTGTGATGATAGAAGATGAGAAAGCATGGTGTTAATAACTCTAGAAAACACTTTTCCCAAATCTCTTTCTAAGTTGGCCCCATGGATGCTTAGTGACATTCTTTTTCCTTCTTTTCTTTTCCTTAGTCACTAGAAAAAG